AGCAGCTGTCTGAGTGAAGAAATGCCTCTAGCTCCAGTGGGCCAGGAGCAGGAGGCAGAGCTGGACCCCAAGGTTGAGGGGCTTTCACCCAGCCCCTAGAGCCTGGCACTTTGAACTTGAACTTAAAGCTTCCAATTTGTAAGAATAAACTCCTGTTTGATAAGGCCATCCCATTTGTGGTATATTTCTTGTCAGAGTGGCATTAGGTAATCAGAACAGGAGGCCTCTGTGAGGAGGGAAGTTTTCAGCTCTGAGGGTCTCTGAGAGAAGAGTATCTCTTATAACTCAATTTAAAACAGGGCAAAGGATGTGAATAGACATTTCTCCCAGAAAGATACACAGAGGGCCATAAGCATATGAAAAGATGCTCCATATCATTAGTCATCAGGAAATACAAATCGAAACCACAGTGAGATACTACTTCACACCCTCTAGGATGGCTTGAATCCAAAGAGAGATGATGGTAAATGTTGGCTAGGATGTGGAGAAATCAGGACTCTCATACACTGCTGGTTAGAATGTAACAAAATGGTGCAGGTCACTTTAGCAAACAGTCTCAAGTTCCTGCAAAGCTGAAACACAGAGCTCCTATATGGCCCAGCAATTCCATTCCTAGGTATATACCCAAGAGAAATGCAAATATATGTCCACACAGAAACTTGTACATGAATGTTTTAGCAGCATTACTCATGATAGCCAAGAGGTAACCAACCATCTTTGGTGTGCTGTTAGGTCAATTCTGACTCATAGAGTCTCCCTAAGACAGAGTAGAACTGCCCATAGGGTTTCCAAGGGTGCAATCTTTATGGAAGCAGAATGACACATCTTTCTCCCATGGAGTAGCTGGTGTGTTTGAACCACTGAGCTTTTGGTAAACAACTGATGACTGTTTTAACCACTGCACCACCAGGGCCCCTCCAAAAAGTGGAAACAATCCCAGTGTCCATCAACTGATGAATGGACAACCAAAATGTAGTGTGTGTGTGTGTCCATACAGTGGAATATTATTCAGCCATAAAAAGAAATGGAATACTGATTAATGCTACGGCATGGATGAGTCTAGAAAATATTATGTCAGTGAGAGAAGCTTTTACAAAAGGCCACATATTACGTAACTCCATTCATATGAAAGTCAGGAATAGTCAAATCTATAGAGACAGAAAGTAGATTAATGGTTGCTTAGGGCTGGTTGATAGAAGAATAAAAATGTGTGGTACAGTGAATTACTTAATATGGGTCTTTCAGCCATGCATAGTCTTGTAACTTCCACAATGATTGCTATGCAATAAGGTTCTTGTGGTCCACTAAGGGGATTGGACAGCCTGATGAGCATGCAAATAAGGTTCATGGAACCCCTGTGGGGGTGGGCACATGCAAATAAAGTATATGTAACCCTAAAGAGGTTTTAACCTTTCACCATACTTATTCAATTTGTATGCTGAGAAAATAATCCAAGAAGCTGGACTATATGAAGAAGAATGTGGCATCAGGATTGGAGGAAGACTCATTAACAAACTGCAATACGCAGAC